CAGGTTCTACCCAGCCAGATGTGAGATGGCTAGTTCGGTCCATGCAGGATCAGATGGCTAGGTTGGCTGCCCCCTCCAATCATATCAATACTTCCACTCCAAAGACTCACCTAATCCTCCAAGTGGGATGAAAAATATTGTCATGGAAGCACTGGACTAATAGCACATCCATTTTTAGTGCTAATAAAAGAGGGCTTCTCAGTTAGCTCATCCTCTTTTTTCAAAGTTGGCAAATAGAAAAGAGGAATTGTGCTATTAGATAGGTCTCCATCATGCTATATTTCCTTGCTTATAAATGCCAAAAATGAATGCTCTTCCTCCTTACTTCAAAATTCGTTTCTTTCATGCTTTTCCATCTATGACATCTACCCCACAAACCAATGAGTAACAGAGCATGCTCAAAAAGCCTAAGAGCTGCCAATGATGTCCGTAGACTTGAGGAGATTATTGCAATTGTGAAACACAGTAGGTGTGCGTACATGTTATTTTTGTCATAGTTAGTGGAGAAACAACCCACTTCAGGACTAAGTTTTGTTTTATCCAACAGATGGTTGAGTAAAACCTTCGGGAAAGGAAAAAGATTGATTGAATGAAGCATCTCAGCACCACCTTTTGTTTGTGCCAATGTTAACAAGAAATTCAAGGCTATTGTAAATGAAAATCGAGATTCTTTGATGTGTATTATCCTTCTCTGCCAGAACTTTCTTTAACCTTCCACTCTTATGCATCTAAAGTACTATATTAAATCCTCCAATTAACTCACCTTTTATGTAAAGCGGGGGAAAGCTAGACTAATCGGAAAAAGTTTGCAGGCCCTTCCTTACTTCCTCATCGGAAAGCACATCAAAGCTCTGAAACTCAATCTTCTCTCGTTTGAGGAGCTCAACAACCTTGCTGCTAAAACCACACTTATGCTCTTTAGGTTTTCCTTTCATGAACAGTACAACAGGACTTGAATTTATGAGAGTTACCAATCGAGAAGCTAAAGCAATAATAAGAGTTGTGGAGCCAACTGTTCTCGCATTTTCAGATCCCTAAGCTCAAGAATATGGCATGTTCTCCTTTGAAATAAGAAGGATTCCATGATCTCGAAAAACATCATTCAATTCTCCACTTTCATGCCTGGCAATACAATATCACAACCACCAAAAAGTTCACCCATGCAGCAGAGTTGAGGAAAAGTTGGCTAGTTAGAGAACTTCTTCATGCCCTCACGGATATCTTCATCTGATAGTATATCAAAACTTCCAAATTCAACCACCCTACGGCTACACTTGCTCAAGATTTCCTTCCATAAACAGTAAAACAGGATGAGAATTAACAAGCTGTTATAGTCGTTTAGTCAAATTTTCAGTCGACAGTGAATTTTTTGTTTCAGTCTTTGAAAAGCCATTTTTCCTTGCCAAATATTTAACTATTTCAAGAACTATAGGACCTGCAGTCATCCCCAGGCTTGCAGGTGCAACTGATTCATCATTATCAATAGTTTCAACAATTTTTGCAACTTTATTAGCCAAAACAGTTGGATTTGCACCCTCCAGTGTATCAAAAGTTTTTTTTTCCAATGCCCTCAATCATTTGAACCTTCAACTTCCTCACCCTAAGATCGTCATTGCCCCAATAACTTCTCCCTCCTCCAGTGTAGCTATTGTTGTGATCCCTCCATGCTTCCGCCATGTATTGAGAGTGGGAATCTTGCCTTTCTTCCATCCGCCTCATATGACCCACTCCCCATGGTTCGGCCCGTCCCTCTCCTCCAGTCGTCTTACTCCCCATGCCCAAACAGTCTCCCATAGTGGTCAGTCACCCTACCACCCTCACTATAACACTCACTTCTTGTTATCCCTCTTTCCGAAAATCCTATTCCGCCCCTTATCGAAGCCCTAGTTGGTGACACTTGATGAAAGGAGCTCTCTTCGTCAAACTCTTCTCGTCTAATCTCTTTCCCTTTAGATTCGGCCGAGAGAATCACGATCAAATCTTGATTAGAATTAGTAATTGGAACTGTCGGTGAGATTTTGGATAGCATTTCAATGAGCTTTCTCATCATCTCCTCCAGAATTTCCTTCCCTTTGGTTCAACCATAGGAATTGTCGGTGAAGCTTTCGACTGCATCTAGATCATTTTCTTAATCATATCTTCCAAGTTTTCAAGGTGGTTCTCTATGGATGAGAGCTTTTCTTCAATGGTTGACAACTTTTCCTCCATCTCGGAATATTTCTCTTCCATCACGGCCCTGAGTTATTTCATCTTACCTTCCAATGCATCCATCTTTTTTGATGTCATTTACCTCGCTAAAGTAAAAACAGCAAGCCAATAAATAGAAAACTACATGAATGCCCAAAACAATGGGTGGTTTTTATTATTTCTACAATATGAAAGCAAGATACAAGTGATCTACTATCAGAGAGGTAGATCGTCTCTCCCACAAGACATAGACGCTGCTAGGAACTCACAACAAACACCAAGAACATAAAACTCAGCAATAGCATACTATAAACCCTAGAATACAAAATCATAAATATAACATTTCAAAATAATTAAACATGATTTATGAAACATTCCTAAACAATTAAATATAATTTAGGAAAACTTACTAAACAATTAAACATATTTTAGGAAACGACCCTAAATAATATTCTGTCTCTTATTTAAATTCAAATTGAAAATCTTTTCCTTAAATAATTCCCACCTTATTCCTCCTCCTAACATAATGAATCACAGCTTTGCTAGGCCCCACAAGGGAGGCCGAATTTTCCGGATTTTCTAATCCAAGTTCTGCTCAACCGGATGGGTGGGCTAACTGCCCCCTCTAATCGTATCAGAGTACCGGAATTTTATTTCAACACAACAGGATCATAGTGACAGCATGTAAATACCAACCAAAGTCTAAGTTGATTATCCTTCTGATGAGTGCATATCATATAATCATTATTTAAAATTGTGCAATATGAGGCTCGTCTTGAGGCCCGACCCAGCACAATTCCAGTGAAAAACGCATCAAGAGTTACACCAAGAACTTTTTTTATGAGAATCACACCTCAGCTTGGTTGAGGCCTGCCTTGAGACGCACCTCGCCTTATTGGCGTTAGGCGTCAGCCTCACTCGATTTATATATTTTTTATTAAAACTACATAAATCCTAAACTAAAGCCCTGAACAAATCATGTCTTCATACACCCCCAAGCCGTAACAACTAGATCTCAACCTTCTCGACCTCCATCTCACCACCTTTGTCGTAGCCTCCACCATCATAGCCACCATCTAGAATCACTTGAAAGCCACACATCGCCACCACCTCCTCTTAAAATTTTGAAGTATTATTCTCATCTTTATGTTGATGAAAATTATTTATTAAAGAAAAATATAATTGAAATAAATGAAGAAGAAACAGATTGAGATGCATTGAACTCCACAAGCTGAGGCAGGGGAGAGACTAATCTGTTATGACGACGACTCAAATAAAAACCCACTTAGTGATGATAGTGTAGATGATTTCTAAGTTGTTGTCAATTATGTCAATTTTTTTTTTAAATTAAATGTTGATGAGTAGGGAACTGAGAGAAAAAATTTGGAGTTGAACTTGATGTTATAGGATACTTTTACATAATTCCTATATTTCAGGTTGTTTTGCTCTTATAATTTTTTGGATTTCAATTCTATTTAACACAATTTATCACTTGTTACTTTATGTCTTGTGCAATTTTTTGTTTCATATGTATGTCAATTTATCACTTCATAGTTCAATAGAAAGTTAATATGTCATTATTTAATATATTATTTGGGTATTATAAAAAAATCACTTTTAACCTTTATTTTCACTTTAAACATTTTTTGGATTTTGAGGCTTGCGCCTCAAAACGCCTTGAGGCTTACGCCATACCTCACGAAAGAAAAACGCCTCAACACCCAATTACGCAATTTTAAACCTTGCACATAATATTCACAATAATGTTTGCATAAATGTTAACAAGTACAAAGAAGTTGAATGTTAAACAAAAATAGAACAATTGAAAAATAACATCCTTTTAAGAGCAGCATGTCAGTATTCTGATCTTGAAACCGGAGAGATGGTGATGTTCATGTCTTTTTTTCAAATAATGTCCCCACTTTTCAAGATATCAAATGCAATTGCCTATTCAATACTAGGTTTGGAGAGGAGAAAAAATACGTCTTTAATATTAAGTTTGGAAGGGAGAACAAAGAAAAGGATTAAGGGAGGAAAAAAGAGTACCCTTCACATATTACAAGATACCATGGCATACTGAATAGTGTCCCCAAGATGTCTAATATGGTGATATCAACATCTGTTAAATTGGAAAAGTATGCAACTTATGAAATCAGGTCAATGACCATGTTAATTTATGCATAATTCTGGGGTGGATGTCTCTTCAGTTCAATCCAAGCACTGGTTCATTGAATTGTTCTATATTGTTCCCAGGCATTAGCTCGATTGACATCAAGCCACATAATACTATTCATATCACTGAACTGTCCAAGACAGGCATCGTAATTTCTAGAATTTGATCACACTAGAATCCACACATCTCCTTCACCTGACTAAGCTAGGTGTAATATGTAAACCGTATTTTATTTTTAATTGACTATAATGTAAAATAGATAATTATATACGAGACTAATATCTCCCTATCCAGATGATATTGATTGTGTAGCATTTGCCAATGCAAGCAAAACAAAGTGCAACATCAACCAGGTGACAAAAAATGTTATCAACCTCTAAAGGAAAAGTTGCTCCCAGTTTCACGATCACTAGGAGAAAAATGTACAATCATAAAACGCACCATCAGTTTTAGTATGGATACGATCAAAGACTGGTCAATCCATGATTGCCTACTATGTTATCACAAAAATTAGGCAAATTAAGTATGGATAGCATATTACACCTAATTAATGTTTCACAAACACGAAAAAGCATATATTTTCTTATCAAATGAGACCAGAAAAACTAAAAAATAAATAGCAAGTCTTTAATGCCAGTACCTCTGGTAACACCAGTTTTCCATGAATTGCGAGGGAAGTTCTACAGCATCCCATTCTATTCCCCTAATTCCAGCAACAAGCCCTTCATCTTGTTTGGTTAACATATGTTGTAGTGCATGACCAAATTCATGAAACACGGTCTCGACCTACCAATAATTGACAGAATAAACTTCAATTAAATGATGAGACTATGGAAAAAATATATGATATTTAAAGATAAAAATGAAAATAACTTGGAGAGAATCAAGTTTCAAAGCTTAGACAACATATGTTGAAGTACATTTCTCCTAATCACTAAATATAATAAAGAGTGCCCGTTGAACTAAAAGTGGCATTTCGTGCATTATGTGGGTGCTACATGTCATAATTGTTTTAAATTTGAATTAAAACAAATTCAAAAGCTAACTATCATCATGCATGTCATTGAATAAAATTTGAACCTCACTCCAAACTTATTTAAAAGCTAATTATTACTTAAGATATGCTGCAATTTGAATATAGTCATTTCATTTAATATTTTTTACTAATCACATTATGCATTTTATTATTCTAAATTTGAATTTAAATTGAAAATTACAACTATATTATTTTTTATTAAATCATGTATATCAATTACTATATTTAATAGCTATATGCACGCACACTTTAATTTTTAATAAACAATTTATTCATATTTAACTAAAAGAAATTTATTCAACTTTTAAACAACTGGACATTAGAATAGAACTAATAATTTAATTTAATTTCAACTGTTTCTATCAGCCATTGCAATCCAAGGGTATTGGGTAGTTTATGAATGAAAATGACCAACAAAAAACACAATGTAGTGGCTTGTAATTTGCTATACGCAGCATCTTGCTTACTTTTTGCATGCTCAAGACCTGGGCATTTTTTTAGTTATAATCAATGATGCACTTACTTGAACTTCAGATTAGAATACTAACTTCAGCAGAGGTCTGAAAGAATACTGGGAAACTAAAAATAATTAACGGTCATAGAAAGCTACCTCACGGAAAGTCATAAGGCTAGGTTTTCCTCCCACTGGTGGTGTTTGATTGCACACCATGTGGGCAGTGGGCAACCTAACCAAGTTGCCATCACGTGCAAGCACTCGACTACGAGCAAACACCTCATCCATCCAAGCTCCTCCTCGTTTTTCAGAAGGCCGGGAATAGGGATCAAAATAGAAGTGCGCAATTGGATTGCCTGAAGCATCTTTAACACAATAGAATTTCACATCAGAATGCCAAACCTGGAAAGAAATGATATAGATTTATTAAGAATATGGTGCAGCTTTCATCACAGAAAGAATCAATAACTATGTCAAGATGAAATAAAAAAGGAGCAACAAAAAGGAACTCACCGGGGCCAAACCATCAGCTGGTTCAATGTTGATTTCAAAAAGTTTATTTGCAAGATTGAAAAGACCGTCCATGACCTTAGGTAGTGAAAAATAAGGCCGCAACTCCTCCTGCAAAGGGACATCCATAAGAAAAATTAAATTCTCATTTGCATGATGTTCTGGGGACCCGGGACTTAGATTTCACTTCGAAAGAAAAAATAATCATAACGGCGTTCAGCACAGATACCGTGCTACACCAAAAATTCTGCAGTTTATGAATTTTTTATTGACAACAACTAAGCCAGCCATAAAAACAGTAGCAGGTAATCTTTAGGAACAAGAACAATAAAAGACAAACTACAATCAAACAATAGAATTGCTAGTGATATGAGAAAAATAAACATAGCATAAGTCAGCATTTCATAATTTGCAAAGCTAAATCATTGCCGTGATACAAAATTTTAAAGAAACTTCAACTAAGAATAAACTACCTCATTTATGTCAAATTTTGATTCACGAAGTCTTTCACTCCAGAAACCAATGTCCCAGTGACTTAAATCATTAGCTTCTACAGCACCTTTCTCTGCGGCAAATTTTCTAATGTCTTCCATGTCTGCCAAAAAACAAAATGACAATTACTATGGCATTTGACTAAAGGAATCAGGAAAAACTTGAGAAAGAACCGGTGACAAGAAGAAACTTTTAATATGCTAAATTCCTGATGCAGATCTAACCACCGTATCACCTGTTCAGTTCATATATTATCAACACAGTCCTAACTATTTGCTCAGCCTTACGAATCCCCATTTTGCAATCATTTTGTTGAAAAATGCCAAGATGTTGGACATATTTTTCGTAAATTATTTTAAAAGAACTAAAATCTATGTTATTTTGGTCTATCAATTTTCCCTTAATCCTTTGACAGAGCTATATTTATTTACCTATCTAATAACATATTCTCTATCACTCTCTATCATTCATTGTATAACAATTCTATTTTCAACTATCTTCAATAGATACTACTCCAATCATGTCTCTAATATCAAATTTTCGTATTTGTTCTTCCTGATTTTGCTACACATTCATCTTAACATTCTCTTTTCCAACACTCTAATTTATCAGCGGTATTACTATAGGAAGAGATATGAAAATGATATGTTTTGGAGATCAAATCAGCACCCAAAAAAGCCACTGGAGAAAAATTAACACCAAATAGCGAAAAATAGCCACCAAAAGAAAGAGGAAATAGCAATGATATGCATGAACAACACTAATAAAGCTGAAATAACAAGTTTCAATCAAAAAAATACAAGATACAATGGATTCACTTTTTCAAGAGGTGAATCAGCTCTCCCCCAATTTCCTAGCAGCAACTAGGAATTCAAAATCACCTAAGAAAAACTACTTCAGAAAATTCTTCACATAATCCCTACTACATACAAACTTTCCCTTTTAAAACCAGCCCTAATCCCACCATAAATGCACCTCACATTTTCTCCAATGATCTCCCCTTAAACTTTTTCCTCTTATAGGTCTAAAATGAGGTGTTGGGACCCACAAAACAAGAGCCTTTTTGGCTCTTGAACTAAAGTGGGGTCCATAGCCGTATCAATACTCCCCTCCCAAAAAGTCACATTGTCCTCAAGGTGGAAAGAAGGAAATTGCCTCTGGATAGTGTTGTAGGCTTCCCATGTCACTTCATATTCTGATAAATTATTCCACTTGATCAACACTTCCTTGATCCCTTTGTCTCTTTGGCACACACCTTGCACCTCCAGTGGTTTTAATATTACCTCCATATCTTTTGAGGGTGTAGTCGGTAGTGCAAGCGAGGGTATATGGTTTCCAATGGCTAGTCTCAACTACGACACATGAAATACTGGAAGGATGGTTGAAGTTGGTAGCAACAATAGACGATAGGCAACCACACCAATGCGCTCCACGACCTCGTATGGCTCAAAGTATCAAGGGGAAAAGCTTCTCATTCCTCCGTCTAGCTAGAGTCCTCTATCTGTAAGGTCGGATCTTTAGATAAACTATTTCCAATCTCAAACTACACATCCCTTCTATGTCCATATGTCTGCTTCTTCATTATTTGTTGTGCTCACAGTATATGTCTCTTCAATTCAGTCAAGATCCAGTCTCTTTCTCCCAAATACTGCTCCACTGACAATACTAGTATTTTTCCACAGCTATTGTATGATATGAAGTGTTATACCAGTACTCTACTCAAACTAGCCATTTGGCCCACATCTTTGGGGTATCCAAGACAAAACAACGAAGATAAGTCTCCATAGTGTGATTTACCACCTCCGTCTAACCATCTGTCTGAGGGTGGTAAGCGGTACTCTGCTTCAGGATAGTCCCTTGCATCTCGAATAGCTCCACAAAAATGGCTCAAAAAGACATTGTCTCTATCAAACACTATGGACTCAAGTATGCCATGCAAACAGACCACCTCTCTAATGAAAGCGGCTTTCACTAACACTGTAGTGTATGGATGGCGTAGAGAAATGAAATGAGCGTATTCGCTCAATCTGTCCACCACCACTAGAATCATGATGAATCATTCTAACTTAGGCAATCCCTCAATGAAGTTCATAGTCACATCTTCCCACACCTTCTCGGGTAAAAAGCTAAAGGCTGTAAAAGACCACCTAGAGTCATAGCATGGTATTTGTGTCTCTGTCATACATCACAATTGGCCACCATCTTTCTCCACATCCTTCTACATGCCCACCCAGTACGATTTTGCTGCTAGTCGACAATGTGTCTTTTGGATTCCCGAATATACCCCAATAATTGTGCCATGAAACTCCTGCAATAAGGGATGTGTGGTGATGTCCTTAATAGCACAAACCGTCACTGGTATAACAACTTCTAACCCACCAAAGAATAACCAGGATGACTATCCTTGTTTTGCAGTAAATCTCCTCTGATTTTACTCAACTCTTCATCATGCTCGCTTTCTTGCTTCAATTCCTCCGAATCCACCAATATGGAAACCGATGGAGTCATAACCTTAAGATCTTCACTACTTATGGAGAGAGCATCTGCCGCTTTATTTTCCAACCCGAGCTTTCATTGGATCTCAAAGTCAAATCCCAACAACTTCGAAAACCACCGTTGATGCTCCTCTATCACAATCCTCTGCTCCAGCAAAAACTTAAAACTCCTCAGATCGGTCATGACTATGAAGTGCTGCCCCAACAGTTAAGGTCGTCACTTTTAAATTGCTATCATAATCTCCATCAATTCCCTTTCATATACTAATTTCATTCTAACCTTAGCAGTCAACACTTGCCTGAAATAAGCTATGGGCCTCTACCATTGCATGAGAATTGCTGCCCACCAATAGCCTAATGCATCAATCTCTACTGCAAATGATTGGTTGAAATCTAGTAGTGCTAACACAATGACACTAGTCATGGTTTTCTTTAGTTGCTCAAACGCCTGAGTGGCTGCCTCCCCCTATTTGAAATCGTCCTTCTTCAGCTGCTCTGTTAACAGACTGGCTATAGAGCCCATCACAAACTTCATGTAATATCTTGTAAGTTCCAAGAACCCCCTTAGCCCCTTCAGGTTTTTAGGCACTGGCCACTCCACCATTGCCACTATCTTGGTTGGCTCCACTGACACCCCGACTTGAGACACTATATGTCCCAAGTACTCCACTCTTTGTTGCGCAAAAGAGCACTTCTTCATGTTAGCATATAGTTGGTGATTCTTCAAAGTTCCCAACATCATCCCCAAGTTCTCCAAGTGCACCTCCTCCGACTTGCTAGAAATAAGTATGTCATCAAAGAATGCCAAAGCAACCCTCCAAAGATAAGGCTTGAAAACCCTATTTATGAGTGACTGGAGAGTGGCAGGGGGATTAGTGAGGCCAAAAAGAATCATCAAAAACTCATAGTGTCCCTCGTGAGTTCTAAAAGTCTCGTGGGTGTCTTCTGCTCTCATTCTGATCTGGTGATACCCATACTTTAAATCGATCTTTGAGAACACCACCAAAGCATGCAACTCCTCTAACATCTCATCAATGACCGATATGAGAAACTTGTCTGGCACAGACTCCATGTTCAAGGCATGATAATCTACACAAAATCTCCAACTGTTATCTTTCTTCTTCACCAACAACACGCGACTAGAAAAATGGCTCACACTAGGCTTGATGATCTAGACTTTAAGCATCTCCTGAATTAGCCTCTCAATCTCATCCTTTTGGACCTTTGGGTAGCAGTATGGTCGGACACCAACGAAAGTGACTCCTTCCTTCAGAATAATAGCGTGCTCGTGCTCCCGTGGAGGAGGCAATCCTTGTGAAGGTTGGAAAACCTCACTGAACTACTGGAGAAGTGGCTAAACTACTTCTGGAATGTCCTCTATCTCCCGGGCATCTCCTCCCTCCAAGCTCTGGAGCTCCACAAAGAATCCCAATCCTTCACTCTGTATGGCACGTACCATGATTTTCAAGGAAACCATTGCTTTGGATAAACTAGGGTTTTCCTTAATCACCACATTTCTCCCCTCCATCTGGATTTCCATAGCTAAGGACTTCTAGTCCACCTTAGTCTCCCCAAAATTTGTAGCCACTTCATACCCAAGATCAGATCTGTACTTCCCAACTCTAGTGGAAGAAAATCCTCCCTAATATGAATCCCCTGCAACACCACCACCAATCCCTGACAGGAACCGCTGCTCTTCTCCACCTTCCCTCTACCCATCATAACCCCAAAACATCCTGTGTCTACCAGCTTGTCTACCACCTGATTAAATAAGAAATTGTGGGTAGCCCAACTATCCACCAAAATAACCACCGCTTCCCATCTTATCTGTCCCCTCACCTTCATATTGTGATTTGGGGTGAATCTTATTACAAAATTCAATGAAACCTCCACCACCTCCAAGTGTAAGGGCTCCTCTTCCACTAACACTTATCCTTCTGCCGCTACTCCGCCTATCTCCTCCTCATCACAAAGAAAAAGGACCTGCAAGGTGTGATTTTTACACCTATGGCCCTGTGCAAACTTCTTATTGCACCTAAAACATAGCCCCTTAGCTCGTTTGTCCTACAGCTCCGTATCAGTCAGTCGTTTAAAGTTTCCTCACGGTCGAGCTACCAAACCTTTCTCCTTTGGAGATTCTCTTTGACCTGATACAATTGGCACCCTAGGTGCAAAGAAGGTGGTCCCCTTTGCTACTCCTCTCAAGTGATGTTGTCCTCTATCAACTGGGCTAACTACATAGCTTCTCCCAAGTCACGGGGTTTTACCACTCACACAGCGGCCGTATGCTCTAGTTCGAGTCCCTTCATGAAATTGCTCTCTAACATCGTCTCTAGTAATCTCCCTAAATGTCCCGACATAAGCTAAAATCTCTCATGGTACCATGCCAGTACCTTTCCCTCGAGACATAGTGTTGTTGCCCTAAACCTCTCCCCTTCCATCAACCCGTTCACCGTAAAATATCTTTCTACTCTATAAATCCACCCATGTGCATCATCGCCTTCAAACACCGACATTTTTAGCTTCCTGACCTTCGAATCTCTCTCGCCCCAATTTCCCCTTCCTCCCTCCATGCCTCCCATGAAACAAGCATTCAAATCTCTCCACG